AGGGTAGAAAGAGAGGATGCAAAGTAGCAGCGCCACAGCGGCGTGGCCGCCCCAAGAGCCCTGGCTGCTGGTGGCCTCGGTGGCTCTCCAGTGAGTCCCGTGGGCTCCAAGGTCTCCCATGGTTCCTCCTGCTGGCATCTTGCTGACCGCCATCTCTCTCCTTCCTGCCCAAGATCCAGGAGCACCTGCTCAAGGCGGAAGCCAAGCGGTCGCCGGGCAGGAAGGTGGGCGCCGAGCTACGCGAGTCCGAGTACATGGAGGTGCTGGAGAAGAGCTGCTCACAGAGCTGGGATGGGTGAGTGGGTGCTGGGGGCACCCGCCCAGCCTGGCATCCCTTGGCGGCGACAACGCCACGTGTCTCTGCAGCTATGGCGTCATGGAGGTGGAGGGAGTGAAGCGCCTTGCCGGGCCAGGGCTGCCGAATCAGGAGTCCATAACAGTGATGATGTCCGGGGGCCCGTGGCCGGGCAGGTAAGACGGGGCACCGCCACGGGGCGGCCAGGCACGTGGTGCTGCCGTGCTCACCTGCTGCCCGCACCCCCAGGTTGCACAAGATGTGCCACAGCTACGTGGGCGAGCTGGGCGAGGAGCAGCTCTACCGGGCGCACCGCCGCGGGGCTGCCGCGCTGCAGGAGCTGCTGTGCCACAGCGCCAAGGGTGCCTGCGCCACGCTGCGAGGCGCCAGCAAGCCAGCTGCCACCAAAGCGCCGCAGAACGAGCTGTAGCCCCTGCAAAAACAGAGATGTCCTTGTTCCCACCATCGATGTGTGGCTCTTTGGGAAGCGCCGGGGCTCAGTGCCACTCTGGGGAGGTCCTGAGGGATACAGGAGCCAGCTGGCAAAGCGGGGACGCCCATGTCATCATGCAACACCCCCCCTCACTTTGCCAACCGCCTTGGCCATGTCTCTACGCCCCCGCCAGCCATGTCCCTGCCTGGCCAGGACTGCCCAGCAGTATCACCTGGGCCTGGAAGGTATTTCCGTAGCTGCCCTGGCAGAGGGGGATTTTCCTGCAGCTTTGGTCCACCCCATGCCTGGGCAGCCGTCACGCGGGCGCACACCCATGGGCGCTCCCTGCAGCTCCCGCATGCGGCGGCGAGCCACCGCCTTCGCT